ATAAACAGCCAAGAAAAGCTAACATATTTACATGAAAGATTAAAAAATGTACAACATGGATTACACAGATAAACCATTCTTAACACTGCCATCAGAAGAAGCTTTTTAAGTGAGATCTAATATAGGAAGGAAAGGCACTAAAATCACTTATCCGATGGCAGACATATTCAACATGTTAGAAACAAGTCTGCTAATAAAACAAGTTTACTTTGATAAGGAAAAAATGAAACACTTTTCCTGTAGAAAGATCATTTAAAATTTTTGTTAATCATTAGTTTTTAGGAAAAAAATTTCATGATTTGAAGTATTAATAAATTTCCAATCATAAAACATATTTTCTCCCATATAGATGAAAAACTTGCAACAAAATTCAAATACCTTATAAATAATACACACAGCATGAACTTTACAGCACACTAAAAATGAAAACTAAATATGCAATATAATGTACTACTGAGAGATATTTACACAAAGACACCTTAGGGTAAATCAATAACATTGCACAAGAGCTTTTATATGCATTCAATATATGAAAATTCAATTTTCATAACTAAATATAATGATATAAAACTAATATTGAACATGCTGATAATAAAAATTTTAAAAAAAAATTAAAGTTTAGATCAAATGCAATGCTTTAGAATTTATCAATTTCACCAAATGCCTTTTTTTAATTCTACAGTCATACCACCACAGTACCTACTTTACATGGGAAGCTCAGACTTTGAACAACTTTTTGAGTTCTTAATACAGATAGAATAAAAAAATAATTTTTACAAATAATACATTTGCAAGGAGAAAAAAGGGTACTAAGATGTTTAACGCATTACTCAGTGATGTTAGTTCTGGAAATTGTTAAAAATGTCCCGAATTATTAAACCATATTGTACATAAAACATTTTCCTTTTATATTCTGTATCTATACAACAAAGATCTTCCTTGAGCACCTTGTAGATTGAAATAACAAGTAACTGAAATACAAATAAAGCAAACTCATGCATGTAAAATAATGAGAAAATATGTTCATTATTAGTTTCATACAAAAGATAAAAGTGCACCGATAAATCAGTTTAAATATAATGCACTTAAAATTATTGAAATTGCAAGAGCAATTTTGAGCTGCACAGATGAGAATTTAAAGTACATTGTAGTTATTTTGATTCACATCATTAAACGTTCATGTTTTTAAACTGTCTTAGTGGATAAGGCTGAAATCATGAAGAGACATAATGTACACTTTTTGCCCAAGCAAGCAGTGCTGATTTCATCTCTCAGTTGATTTCTTTTACCCATTTTTAATGTTTAACTTAAAAAAAAAGACCCAGAGAGAAAAGCTGTGAATAAAGCTGGTGCTAAATTTTAACAGATGCAAAAAGTTAGAGATGCAAAATGATAATATGAAATAATTCAGTAATGTTTACACAAAAGCTAAACCTGAACTTGAACAGGAAGAATAAATATTGTTAACTGATAAATATCCTCTGAATATTGTGGTGTATCAATGACATGCATGTCATACATCAGCCATCTTGCTCTTGGTTCATTCAAGGCAATGAGAATTGCACCACAAATATTTATCACCAGAAAATATGACAGTACATAATTTTTAGTTTGAGTTTACAGCATGTACTTTAGTTTCAGGAAATAATAATAATTTACATCTTTATATTCTTTGATTGCTCAATTTTGTACTGCACTAATCAATAGCACAAAATTCTTCATGAAATCATAAATTTAATTAGCATACCTAATAATGTCCATTATGAGTAACATTTTAATCTAATGACCATATTAAAATGCAGTTGAATGACACAGAATACTAGTCATAACATTCAAAATGAAATCCTACACCATAGTCTCATATGAAGAGCATTCAACTTTTCATTGAACTATGAAAGAATAATAGCTCCAGATATTGTTTTGGAAATGGAATGTAAGTATTAATTTATGCAACACAATAAAACCTCAATTAATGTAACACAAGGTGATAATGACTGAATTTACCAACATATTCCCATTTAAATATGGTAGGTAATTAACCTAATAAGAGTAAAAAAAGTAAAACTACATTTCGCCATAAAACAAGGTGAAAACATAATGAAACAAAAATGTATAGACTGGAAATGGACCACTGATAATTCAGTAACATAGATAGTTAACACAGCAACACAACATTCTTTCTGTTCAGTAAATTCTGTATTAATATATCACATATTATAATGAAACAAAAATACATGTACATACATACACAGCAAATTATATACAACCTGACAATACTGCAGAAGTTGTTTGTTCCATGTGATATTCTGTATTACTTAATCAAAAATTCAAACAAGATATAGTTCTAATTTTTAATATAAAACGAATCCATAACATTACCAACAGTGCCATCCATCTAGAATGTATAAATGTCAAACTTAATTTCTTTCCTTTTGAAAGTTCTAAATACAAAACCAATTATACGAAAGCAAGAAAATACACTGGAAGATCTTACAATACTCCAAAGCAGTTTTGACAGTAAATATTATGAAGATAAAATAATAAATGTGCTAAGACAAGCATGTAATGCTAGCTAATTCTCATAACTCACCCATAGTTTATTATAAATTTTCACTAAAGTAGATATTTAATAACAATTCACAAATGTGATTGCTTTAGGCAGTTACAATGCACACCTTTTTAAAATTATTATTTTTACTTCATTTGCATAAAAAAGAATACAAATTAAGATTCCCCAAAAATTAAGTACATCCATGTTCGCTCTCATTTATGACAGCAGATAAAACCGAATTTTTAAAAAAAATAGTACTTGTATAAAAGAATAATCTAACCCTATGATATATGCCAGGGGTGGCCAAACTGCGGCTCGCGAGCCTGATATGGCTCTCACAGGCAAATTGTGTGGCTTGTGCATATAAAATATATGTATGAAATATGGTAAACTAAAACTATTCAGTGTCCAAAAAGAAGTAATTAATTAGTTTAGACTCTTTTTTACAAAGTTATCAGGGATTTCTTTCTATTTAAAACCTCCTCCACTACTTCTATAATGATGTAAATATGAACTTGTGGCTTTTAGAAAATCTAGATGCGGCTCTTACTGATATGAAGTTTGGCCAACCCTGATATATGCAAATAAAATAGATTCAAATACACTACACACAGAAAAAATTTCTAGAAAGTGAAATTTTGGGGATATAAAAATTAACATATACAGATTTATACCTAGAAGAGACAATACATTACATTATTTTCTGAAGCAGTTTCCATTTGGGGGGGGGAATGGTTTTTAATAGAGTGAATAGAATTTCCTTTACTTTAACCAAAATAAACACACTAAGTGACAATCTAAGATTTATGTACAATTTCTGAATGCAAAACTGAAATAGATAACTGTATTAAATTTTTTTTACAGAAAATGATGATGAATGTTTTGTTAAAATGTAACCTCTCTTTGCTCTTTTAATAACTTACTGATCTGAGAATCACAAAATATATAAACTGGTTTAAAATGCTTTCAGGGAGAGAAATACACTTTTCAAACATATACAAACTTTAGTTCTTTGAAACACACTACAATTTGTCAAAGATACTTTATGGATTGCAGTATCTTTCAACCACTCAATTTTCAACACAAACTTTAAGAATGGAATGAAGTGGAGATGAGAAATTACTTATTTTCATAAATATTTGCATTGCTGCTGCTTTCCAAATAGTATTCGATTTTTATATGAGCACTGAAAAATAAATCTGAAGGGTTTCAGAACTGAACTCAAGTTCATGCCACACTAATTAACATGTAATTAAAGGAAAGCTTTTTAGATTCCTTGTAAAATGAGCATTTCATTTCTTATTTTTTATCATCAGTATGATTATTTTTTAAACAAGTTTAGAATACGGTAATTTTTTATAAAATGTAAATAGATTAAAAACAGGTTTTTATATTAGTGTGATTTAATTCATAGATCAACAACATAAAATTTAATTTTTTCTTCCCACAAAAGTACATTTTTTAAAGAAATAATTTTACTTCGATCAAAAATACTTCCTTATATTATGGATGATTTATACATATGGATGCACTGGTACTGATATGAAAACGTGTGAGATACAGGCTACAGAATCATTAGTACTCTCATCTTCAGGACATTAATATATCCTCCAAAAATATTAATCCTTTTTGCAACAAGTTCTAAACACAAAAGATGATAAAATAAAAATATACAAATCATGCAGTCGTACAAATACTTCAATTATAAGTTTTTCATTTCCTATGTTTCAAATTTTTTATTTCCTACTTCAATAAGGCAATTTTGGCAATACACTCTCAAGGACAAATTGGATACTCTTCATACTCAAGCTAAAAAAGATTCAAAACCCAATTCATGATAAAGTCCATTTCAGCATGAAAATGCAGCTTTACTCTATTATACATTTTTATTAAAGTAAAGGCAACTCTTGAGAGATAGAATCTATCTTTCCTAAATTAAATGCATGTTCAAACATTTACTCATGTATTACAAACTTAACACACCATATCAAAAGTTTGAAAACTATTAATTAAAAATTAAATTTTCATAAAATGATAAACATATTTGATGTACTGATCAATAAAGACTAGTTTGAAACAGTAGAATACATAGTGGCATTAATGGTAGAAAAATGAGACTGCTGAATAACTGATGGCCACGTGCACAACTAAGAATTTTGTTCACATATCTGTATGTGTGTATATATATATATAGAGAGAGAGAGAGAAATTTTACATAATCCCACCATAAGTCAAACACAACTTCATGGAATATTTCAGATATTAAAGTGCTCATAACACTTCCGAATAATATTTTCAATGGATCTTTCTACTTTACTGTAACTATAATTCATAATTTCAAATTAGAGACAGTTCACAAAAAGAAAAAATAAATATGCACTATCAACATTTTTATTTTAATATATGTAACCATATTAAAAATTTAGAAAATAATTATGTTTTTAAAATTTTAATGATGATACATTACAAACTCAAATAATTTTAATAGATAAGAAGACACACAGCTCTAAATTATAAAATTCATTGTGGACATTCAAAGATTAAAAAGATACCTGAAAATATTTTGCACTCAATATTGTAATACATGATACTTAAATCTAGGCTGGAAGAAAATTCACAGTCAATGTCCAAATTTTTACCAATTCATTCATCAATTCTTTTTTATGTTTAAAACCACAATCATATTTTAGAAATAGAAATAGCACTTTTAAATGCTCTAAAGATTTATTAAAGTATATAAATTTTATTACATTAATTTCTTTTTTATGCAAATAATGTGATAAATATAATGTAGTTACTAAAAATATAAAATTCGCATGGTTACATTAAAAATTATGGTTTGTTTAATTAGGTATTTTTATTTTTTGGAAGTATTCTGTATAAAAGTTTGGTAAAATCTTTTAATTTTCCATACAGAATAAGAAATAGACCTTTTATTCTGAAGAGGCATCAATTTTCAAAGAACTGTCTGTTTCAATTAAAAACATATATTTCCTTAAACAGGTTATTCATTTAGGAAGAAAATGACCATAATGCGACATGGTTTAACTCAACACTGATAAGCCTTGACTCAAATTAACTTTACATGTTAATTCCAATACTCATTAATCACTCAAAACACATATTTGAAGATGAAAAATAATACTCTTATTAGATGTTATCATTCATTGCACACATTCACTCACAGATACATATCAATACACATATGGAAATAATAACTAGCAATTTTAAAAGAGGTTATATAAAAGTTAGTTACAAATGAGTTATTTAAATGAAGCTGCAAGACTAACACTATTGAGAAACTTTACATCTGTATAAAAAAAAAAAAAAAAAAAAAAAAAAAAAAAAAGGTGCACAAAAGTTTAGGACAAAACTGACATCATGGATGGTTTCAGGGAAACTCCTCAAGCATGAAGAGTTCTTGATGTGCTATGGATGTGGAAAAAAAAAAATGATCACAGCCAGATATATCTCTCCAAACATTTTGGCAAGCACCTGAGCTAAAACACAGTAAGATTTTTCCAACTGGTGTCAAGATAAAATGGCAGCACTTTTACGCAGAACAGTCAAATTGTCCAAGCTAGACCATTTCCGCATTCCATTTCGATGCAAGTCTACCAGTGTACTACACAGTGCCAGTGACATAGCCTATAAAAAAGCAAACTGCTTTAGAACCAAATTCAAAACTCCTGCTTATTTAGTGAAAGAAAATTACAGACCAATTACAAGTAACAATAATAATAATAAAAGGACCTGAAACAAAAACAAAATTTAAAAAACCGTTTGGGAGATAATTCTGTCACTACAGTGATGTTACATACATTTGCCTTATCTTGGGATGGAGAAGTGATACCTTGCATCCACATGCCAGATATAGCAATTCACACCTGCTATTCTGAAACAGCTAAATTCATTAATATTACTGCACTAAATATCTGCTACACAGCATATTGATAAAGTATGGGAATCATGTGTTTCTAAGAAGCAGAGGCTGGGAAGAAAGGTGCTTGTGATGCTACATCATGAAATTATTTTGGCCTTTATTTTGGGGTACAGATAATAACAACATTGGGATTTTTGTTCCTACAGTTAAAAGTTCTTTGAGGTCATGTTACCATATACAGTACAAAGCCCAAGATCCGAACTCATCGGGACTTCAGCGATTCTGGATTTGGTACTTTTCCGGATATTAAATCATCAGTTTAAAACTTGTAAGATGGCATGTGGAAATTTTAGAATTAAAAATATGAAATCGTGATTCATGAAATAATGAAGTATTTGTGATCTAAAGGGTATAAAAATTTACACAACAAAAAAAAAAAAAAAAAAAAAAAAAAAAAAACCCACTTAATATTTATTTGTTTACTTTATTAAATATTTCTTTCAATAGAAGTTGTTTAAGTTGCATTTTCTGTGCTAATATTTTATCTTCAATTCTGTAGATAGACATAATTTCTTATTCAGGTACAAAGTTCCATTGCTTAAATCCTGTAATTGCTGTGTCAAGAGTTCTGACTAACTTGTTAATCGAAATTTTTTCGTTTTTAATAACCTCTCTGTCTTTTTCTTCACTATCGGTAGTGGTATTTTCTGGATCGTCTATTAATCTACTGATAATTGGGCCTTAGTCATCGCAATGAAATATTTCTGTTATATCATGTTCATTTATTACAGCTTCTCCAAATTTCTTTAAAAAATCCCATTAATTGGAAAATTTAACCTTTGGTTTGAGATATCCCAAAACTTTTACATTCGCACCTATCATATTCATCTTCTTCACCATGAAATATGCCAGCTGGGCATAAATTATGCCAAGCATTTTTAAAAGTATCTTGAGACACACCCTCCCACGATCTTGCGATGCTCCACACAGCAGATTGTATAATAAACTATTTCAAAAATTCTTGAATAGACTTGCCATTATTTAAGAAATTTAAGAATGGATTTAAAAAATTCTACTTTATATTATATTTGCGTTTCAGTGGTGCACTATTCCTATATCAATAGGCTGAATGATGAACATACAGTTTGGAAGAAAGAATAATACGGACACATTATCTTTCACTTAAAACTTTAAGTGAAATATGATCTGAACAGTCATGTACAATCAGGACTATTTTCGCATCACAGGTAAACCATACAAATTCTTCCGAGTCTCGGGTATGAAATGATTTTAAAACTAATCATTCATTAACACTTGTGTCATCCATGTTATTTAATTTGCTAGATATATAACAGGAAACTCTTTACTCTTTTAAATGCTCGAGGTTGTGTATTTTTTCAAATTATGAAAGGTTTACTCTTGTGTGATCCTAGGTATTACGAGGCATATATTGCCATAAAAGATCAGTTTCATCAGTAAATTTTACCAGTAAATTTGTTCTGAAGATAACTTTAATCTATTAATGAGTTCAATGAATTCATCTGCAAATAGTTCAGCAGCTTCAGTATCAGCTGAAATTTTCACCTGAAATTCCTAAATATCTTATACCAGGGAGATTTTTAAATTTGGTTAACCAACCTGTCGAATACGTCCACTCAGTTTTTAAGGTCACTTCTTAGTGAAATATTTTAGCTTAAGCCAAGCACTGGACCCGACAATGGCATGCTCTCGCTGCAACACAGTCTGACTCATTCAGTCATCACTTTGCCATGATCTTCACTTTTAGCTTAATGAATAATTTTTCTGTTATTTATTGAGAGTGAGGTCTCGGAAGAAAACAAAAAAAGTTCCTTTTTCTATTTTGTTGTGTCGTATACAATTGACTTTCCAATACATAATTTTGAGACGGAAATACCTTTATCCATTTCTTACAGCAATTCCACTTTGTTTAATGGACAATGAAACATGCTTTCACTTTGTAGATCCTGTTGCAGGTCCAAAATTAGAAACTCTTTTTGACATAATCGGAAGTTGAAAGTTTAATTTTCATAAATTGCTGTAATAAAAACAGCCTGCAAAAAATAATACGCTGATTCAAATCAGAAAGTTAAAGAATAACGCAATCTGCTATATTGACTGAAATTCCTTGGAATCAATAAAGTACAATTTTAGTCTAGCTTTATGGTGTTCGCTATACATTAGTGGCCATGTATCATGAGATTGGGAATGAAAGACAAGTTGTTCTGCTTAACTTTGTCTTACTTCTATTGCGCACTGAGAAAATAAAGCTCGATTGCATTAGTTTAGTTATTTATTATACTTACACCTATTTGTTGCACATGAAGGCTTATCTTAGTCTCGAATAAATAAATTCCCACATATACTTAAGGCTTATCCAGGGCCGGCACTAGGTATCTTAGCGCCTGATACAGTCTCTGTGGATCTTAAGTTATGCTACCAAGCAACTAAGTTCTAAATTTGGCCGCCCCTAAATTTTGGATGCCAGTGCTTTCCCTAAATTCGAAAAATATATTCATTTGTTAATTTTGTTGCTCGGTGCTTTCGAAATTCCAAAAATCTTGTCATCCATAAATTCTGCTGCCTGCCTGCTGCCACCACACGAGCTCTGGCGCCGGTTCTGGGTTTACATGAAAAACAAACCAGCTATTTTTAATTCAAATAGTACTAAATGTAATCGTTTGGCCATGTCAGTATCATTAACAAAATTATTTTTAGCATATGAAAAGAAATTTTTGTTAAATTTTTTCTTGTCAAAATTTCTTAGCGCATTTAACTAAAATCCATAATCATTGCCAAGCATAATGTAACCATAAAAGGTACCTTTTGTTATTAAATTACTAATATAAAAAATATTCTCTGGGCAACACTGCATGAGTCATTAACTTAAGTTGCCATGTGTTGATAAACATGCAGTGATCAAAGCAAAATATAATAAATAATGATTCACCAGGTTGGCATCAGGGCTATAAAATATTAGTTAGTGTAAAATCAATGATGTTTCTATCTAGAATATTTCGGTTTGAGATGTATGCCAAGCAGATGCGCAACTATGGAGCCAAATTATTGATCACACAAATTTATGCTAAATTATTGTTTTTTTCAATAATGAGACATTTATTTAATGCCAAAGAAAAATTAAGAAACAGAACTCTCCACATGTTTTATTTATGGGGGGAAAATTAAATGGGCATCCGTAAAAAGCATTTAAAAAAATGTTGTTGGCTGTTTCGAGGTTCGGATTTTAGATCATTCTGGATGTTGGACGTCTGGATCTCAAACTTTAGAGGATAGTAAATTAGCACTCATACCTGATGAGAATATCATTAGCAAAGCTGAAATACAGTTGTTTGTTAACCGTTGACAACATATGGATGCACTGGAATTGATATGAAAGCATGCGAGATACAGGCTACAGAATCAATACCGCTCTAATTTTTCAGGACATTAAAAATGTAAGAAGCAGTTAATGCAGCTGTACGTTGACCTTTATTGCATTATGCATTTTTACCACCAGTTCTACAGGAATATATGGCCACCCCCATTCAAAGTCTATCCCAGAACATAATATGGGCTTCATTCTAGACTACTATTTTAAAGGAACACATACAATGCCTCTGCAGCATTTTGATTAATCAAGTAATTATTCTTGACCAGTTCATCACATTTCACCAAAATACTGAAGTTTTTACATAAAAAGACCTCCACCATCATTGTTATTAGGAGGAACAGATTACAATGAAGTATTGCAGCAATGGTTGTCATTAGTGTTAGGTGTTAAGCACCTGGGATTTCTGCAGTGCACATGCAGTCTCACTGCTGTAAGTGATACAAATTATAAGCTCTTGCATAGCTCTATGCTCCCCTCGACATCTGTAATTATCATCTCTCTCTGCCAGTGCTTTTGCAATCAATGTTTCATGAGCTACAGGGGCTACTTGAATATAGTTTGAAATTTGATTGCAGTAACTTGAACCTTGAGAGCTTGATCTTTGTTTTTCATTCAGATTATTATTTTTGTTATTTATTCACTTTGAAGTGGCGCCGTTGGCTTGGTGGTGGGTAGACCATCTGAAAATCTTGAGCCCAGGTTTGAATATTGGATAGCTGTTAATGAGTGTATAATGTCTTTGCAGCATGGGCACTTGCATAGCAATGGGGGCACTTAAAATGTTATTACGCTAGGTTTGTAATATGGAAAGTGGGCTAGGTGTGGTGTGTATTTAATTATAGCAAAGCACACTAGGGCTATCTGCAAAAGGGGAGGGATGCCTTCGTGGAGAACTTTCTAAGGGAAACTGGGCTTGTATACACGTTACACATGGGGAAAACCACGAAAAACACCCATGCAGCCAGCCCCGTCCACGGGATTCGAACCTCGGACCGAACTACCAGTGTTCAGCGACTTTACCGCTCGGCCGCTGGTGGGCCAAGTGAGCTAGGAGACCCTCAGAGTGATCTTCAAAATTGCAAAAGAGCTGCTCCTTGCTCCTGGTACAATTCTGTCACTTCCTGAAAACTTCTAGCTGATTTTTATTAAAATCAATATTTTGTCATGGCATTTTCAGCAGATTTTAAATTTCATAGTCTGTTACTTAATGCTGCCACTAGTGCCTATTTTACACATGAGAATTATAAGGTGAGGTATTCAATAGTAATAATAATAATAACAATAATAAAAAACTCAAATATTATTAATCAATATTCTTTCATGGCATTTTCAGCAGATTTTAAATTCCACAAGTCTGCGGCTTAATGCTAAAGCCACAGGTGCCTATGTTATACCTAAGAGTCACAAAATGAGGTATGCAATTAATAAAAAGGACTCAAATATTATTACTTCATAGGAAAAACAGTGCAAAGATGCACAAAAGAAATCTTTTAAAGAAGCACAGAAAGAAAAGCGATTCTAGCTAAAAGTGGAAAAAAAGTCTTTTACACACAATTTACACTTGGGGGGGGGAATCTATATATACAAAAAAAACTTATATGAAACATACTCAAGAGATATTTGAAATTTACATTTTCTTAAGAAGAATAAAAGTATAAAATCATGATCAACTTCATTAAATACTTAATTTAACTTCTTAATAATTAAAAACTGATTTCTATATTTGTAAAGAAACATATAGCAGAAGCATGATTATAAAAATGCTAATTTGAAAGAATTTTTTTTAAGCCATCTCCTTCGCAGATTATAAAATGTTTCATAACAGCCAGAAAAATGTAAAGGTTGGATGGGGGGAAAAAATTAACCTGTAGGGTAAAAGATATCATTTGGGGAAAGGATTTCAAAACAAATTTATTGCTATCGATAATAAGTTTTTATTAATATAATCAGTTCTGAAATTGAAAAACTACAGTAAAATATGAGTTTTGCAAATAAACAGCACTGAAAAATGTAAAATAGATAAACATAACATGACTTGCACACTTTGATTCTAACTGACTGATCCTAGACTGCCAAACCTACTGCAAAGAAAACTTATTTGAATGGGCTTACTTGAAAGAACTCGGGCATTCTTTGAACCTGCTCCTCATATAAAATATGTCTTAGACTGTTAACATAGTTATTTATTCTAAATCCAGCTATGTGCAAAGAAATTACAAAATGCTTAAAAATTATTTAATACCTAAAAATAAATAATTACTTATACACCATATATATTTACCAAAATTTTTTTTTGTCCGAATGCAAGTATATAAAAAGGGATGGGTGCATGTGAAAATAAATCTGTATAACAAGTTTATATGAGAACAATACTCACTTCAAGCTTCTGGGCTCGCTCTTTGCTTAGAGGTTCAGTTGGAAAAGTTAAGTCATTTTGATCAGCTAAACTTCTTAAATCAAAGTAGTACTTTGCATAAACACTTGCAGGAACATTAATATTAAACTGTAACATCTCCAAAAATTGTCTCTCTAATTCATTCCTGAAGAGACAGGGCATAAGCATTTTATCAATATTTTTAAATAAAGAACATAATTACACAATGTAATATATACATACTAAGTTAAAATAACATGTTGAATAATGATTACTGGACATGGTAAGTCAAAAAGATTCAGCATAATATTCATAAATTTGCAGGATTAGTTTTGGAGGTTTAAATATACAACCTTCTGCTTCAGCTGCAGAAATGTACGTGATTAAAAGAGAAGCCTGTGCTCAGGCAATAATGACAGGAAGAAAGTCAAGCTATTGGGATATCTATTATCGAAAAATGAAAACAACTACGAAATAATTTCCTTAAAAGCTGAGGATAAAGATGAACTGAAATCATTAACTACAACTGAAAATTTTTTATGAATGTGAAATGCCTCTAGAAAATCTAATTCGACAATGGGAGACTTTTTTAAAAAATCATTTTAGCAACAGAAAAATGGAAAATGCAATTTTCTGACCAACAGTGTTGGGCAACGGCACATTTATGTGTTTCTTTTTCCTAACATATGCCTCATATTTCATAGGGAGAATTTTACGTTTCTCTTAAATCTACCTGTGCAAATTAAACAACATTGGCAAGGAATCCTGTACATGCTCCAAGAGTTTATATTTGGAATGGTGACCTTAAGTACACAACTGCAAATTTTATTCACATAAGAAGAAAAAAAAAAATACCTAAAGTTTGAATTGCTGTAAAATATGTGCAGTTTTATAGCTAATCGTTGGAAAGAAAGACAAGAGAGTTCTTATGATCTATTAAAGAAAGAGGATGCTTTTTGATCTGCTGAGGACTGAATTTTTTAACAGTTTGATCAATAATGTTATATGAACTGCTTCTGTCTACAGCCACTGCTTTAAAGTAACTTAGTTCTTGATCAAAACTTGATCTGAAAGGGAAAACTTGCAGTGCACAGAAAACGAAACAAAATGAAGCTATCTTCCGTTTAGTCAAGTGACATGATTTGAAATGTGGTGGCAAGCAAACAGATAAAGGTTTACCGTAAACAGTAGTCATGAATTTGGATATGTGGCACGTGACCAGATGCCAAAAAAGGGAAAAGAATCTCAAGCTTAAAAGTGAACTAAATGGTAGTATCAATGGAATTCAGTATTAAATGATTTTTTATTTAGATCACCTTTATTACTATGAAACAGGGTAAACATATCAAAACCACATAGGGAAGTTTAAAATTTCAAAAAAATTTTGATTCATAATAATGCATACAGATATCAGTAAGGATAGTACCCATGGCTAATTGCTTAGTTTGCTTGTAATACTTATTTAGGAAAACAAAATGTGTTTGTTTCGATCAGAGTTGAATAAGGGAAATTAAATCATTTTCGATACAAGAGAGATGAAATTTTTGAAGTCTCAATTGTATTATTATGCTTATTCTTTTGCTTATTTATTATGCTATTCTAATACTTGTTATTTCAAGTGTTATTTTAATTCAAATATAAATGGCATTTTAGCAATTGTTGCATAATTAGCCCATGAGAACCACAAAGATGCATTTGGATGGAAAAATTTTCAGCATCATTTATTTTAATTTTGTATCAAAAACATAGCACATACAATAAATTTTTGGTTGATAGCACAATACAAGGTATGCCACAGACCAGTTATCCTAATGTTTAAATATCATCTAAATGTTGTACGAGTACCAAGCAGAACTAACTGGAAATTTTACAAAGATTTAACAGCAGTATAAGCAATATAAAATGTCAATGTCTTCATAATTGTGTTATAATGTAGATGATGTGTTTCCATTTGAATGCAATTTTGCTGAAATTATTTTGCTTCCAATTCTGCAGTTAGTATTAAAGTATATCCAAATCCTAAAATCTAACAGTTGAATTCCATAGCTTCTATATCATTTTTGTAATTATACAAATTCCATATTAGAATACATATGGAAATGATTTCCAGTTAAAACAGTATTCCTAAAGGTATAAACTTCAGGACACTATACTTAAAAATGAACATGAAATGAAATAATTAGGATAATCAAAGAATTACATTAATCTTCTACTAGCAGCTGAAAAAAGTGGCAAGAACAGCTGATTTCACAAACAATTAAGTGCTGTTCTTTTGTTCAGAATACTAAACTATTATTAGACGAAAGAAAAGTTATTTTTCAGGAAAGAGAATCAAGAAAACAAAAAATCATTTCAAAACATATTTGACATAACTAAAGCTATCTCTGTACTATTTGTTAATACAAAATAATACAAACTTAAAATATGCAAACATATTTAGCATAAAAATGACATTCGATTAAGCCAATGAAGGTATGAATTTCAGGACACTACACTTGAAAATGATACACCAAATGAAGTAATTAGGATAAGCAAAGTTAAAATGAAACTTAAATACTCACATATCTTCTACAGAAATATCTTTTAGAATCTGGCAGTAATCTACATTCCATACAGCTTGATCATCCCACACTTTAGAAGCTAAAAGAATGGCACCTAGAACAATTCTTTTCCAAGTACAAGGTACTATATCAATTTCAGCATATGTTAGAAGCCTTTCTAAATAAACCTGAAATAAAATATTACATAAAAATGTACTATACTGTTGCCATAGCATAATTTTATTCCTTAGATGTAAAATATGTAGAAATTTATAGCCTGAATAGTTACTCAGAATCTATATTTTTTCTTGTGCCCATGCATTTGATTCATTTGACAATAAACCGTTTATTTAAATCAAGTAGCATAACAAATAAAACTTTCATTCCAGTATCATATAAAGAGGAAGAACTTTAAATTAACAAATATACATACTTATACTAAGTAATTAAGTATTTTCTTTATCTCTGGCTAATTTTATGTGAAAATAACGAAAATCAATTTATATCACTTACAGTGTGCAATTGTGAAATCGACATTTGCAATTAAGTTTTTTTCAACTTCATTCAGTTTTTATAGAAATAGACTTCAAAGATATAATAAATGTTAATTGCAATAAGTGATGATACGTAAACCTCCTTCCCAAAACAAAATGCAACCAGTAAAAAACAACTACAGCAGTAAAACCTGGAACAGTCTGTCCACCCCGGAAAGAGACATTAACTCCACTTCTTTGTTTAAAAATGGAGTTCTTTTCTCTGTGGGAAAAGAGAGAACACATCCAGGCTTGCAAATAAAGGAACCCATATTTCACTGTTATATAGCATGCACCATCAATCCTGGTTCACCTAAAATAAGATGCTGGGATCATCTGACACCATGATGTAATTATCTGGGGTTACAGGTACTGGTTCAGTATTACACTCTGACAGCCACAGGGCTCTGAGGGCATAAAATAACAGATTTAGTTCCTACACAAAAGGGCAGCCTATGCTGTTTTGGTAAGTAGTGGCCCAAGTTATCTGAATGAGTGGCACGATGGCCAGATGACTGGTTTTTCAATTACTTGCTTCACATTTTGTAGTTTTCATGCTTCCATCAGTAATAATTTTGGGTGACTGGTTCAGTGCTGGGTTATTTGAGAGAGTTCTAGTTTAACCCTTTGCAATTGTGTGTCTACTCACAGCCACCAAAGCATATTACTGTTCCAATCATGTCTATTCTTATCCTCCAGAGCTTTTTTACGCTTCCAATCATATGTCTGCTGTATATGCACAAAATCTACAGACCTTTTCTTCTACAGTTTGCTCTGATTGGATGAAACATCTTCTTTGTGGTCATACTTGGAATGGTGAGTTATCACCTTGTACACTTTGTAATGAATGCCAAACTATTTTGCAGGCTTTCAATACAGCTAGCAGAAACAGCATTTGTTTCATTAGATAAATTTTTATTTTATGAATGAAAGGTTAAGGGAATTATGTGGAATACATTTTGAATAAACTTCTGATCTTATTTAATAGTTCATTTGTATTTCATTAAAGAATGAGCTGAAAAAAAAAAAAAAAAAAATACCGTAACTGTTTTGCAAGAAAAGTGTTTACAGAGTAGTACTTTATGTAATATTTCATCACTTCTGTTAGAAAGTGTCTGTTGTGTAAATTTCCTTAGCACATTAATTTATACAAATAAAGGAATATTTAAAAAAAATTAAAATAAAATTCAAAGTTTCCACAAGAGTATTTTGCATAACTTTCAGTGCAATTGTGTGTATTCTGAAATGTAGATAGAGATACATTATTAATAAATGCTTTCATTTTTGGGAAAGATCTTAAAATAAACTCATAGCCCAAATAGAATTTATAAGTATATAGGAAAAGTCAGATGTACATATGTACAGAAGTTTCAAGTAATACAGTATTTCAGAAATCAAACAACAAAAATCAGCGTTATATTTACAAAGTTTTCACAGGACTAGTTTCGATGGTTTTACCGAACCACCATCTTCAGCTGCAAAACCGCAAATGAACAAGATAGGAAATAATGATTAGATAAGATAAGAAAGCCTGGACAAGAATAAGCAAGTGGCGCCATCTGTTGGTAAAACCAGAACTAAAACATAATTTCTTTAAAGGCCGAAGGCAAATTTGGATTGGATTTAGGATCGTTAACTAGAACAGAAAGATTTTTATGAATGTGAAATGCCTCTAGAAAATCCAGTTCTCATTCTAACCCGGATTCATTCTAACCCGGATATTATTATTTCAAAGGCCGACAAAGGTGGCCAGATAGTCGTCATGGATAGGAACACTTACATCGATGGTGTCACTAAACTCTTAAACGAAGGACCATATAATCCGATCCCTAAAGATCCTTCACCTTCGGATTTGTCAAAAATAAAAACTGCGATCAAATCTTCGCAAATCATTTCAGCCAACTTAAAACATTCACTTATCCCATCTGTTGCGAATTGTGCCAGATTATATGCTCTTCCCAAAATTCATAAAAGTGGTATTCCTTTCCGCCCTATTGTATCAAATTTAGGTACTGCCTCGTATCCATTAGCTAAATATTTAGTTTCTAGATTTTCAACTCTATTAGACAATAACATTTACACCATAAAAAATTCAATAGAGTTTGTAAAAAAAGTTAAAAACATTTCTCCTAGTAATTTACTCATGGTTTCTTTTGATGTAAAATCATTATTCACCAATGTCCCAGTGGAGGGTGCATTAAGATGTCTAGAAACCAGACTTCGCGAATTTCATTTCTCTTGCATCGAAATTGATGAGCTAATTTCTCTCACTCAACTCTGTTTTGAAACAAACACATTTTGTTTTCCAAAATAAATATTACAAGCAAACTGAGGGATTAGCCATGGGAAGTCCCCTCAGTCCCATCCTGGCTGATATCTACATGCATTATTATGAATCAAAATTGTTTGAAACTTTAAACTTCCCGGCATGGTTCCGCTACGTAGACGATACTTTTACTCTGTTTGAAGGTAATAAAGATGATTTAAATAAAGTTCTTTCAACAATGAATTCTATTGATCCTGCTATTCAGTTCACTTTTGAACTTGAGACTTGAAATTCTCTTCCGTTTCTCGACATTCTGGTCACACGTAACACATCCAACTTCAGTACTACGGTTTACCGTAAACCTTCATCGGTTTGCCTTCCCACAACTTTAAATCATGTCATCCGACTAAACAAAAGTTAGCTTCATTTTATTCCTATGTTTTCCGTGCTCTTCAAGTTTGCTCCTCCGAACTAGCCCTTGATGAAGAACTAAAGTATTTAAAAGCAATAGCTATTGACAGGGGCTTTCCACCCAACATTATTAATCAAGCAGTTAAAAAATTTAAAACTTAAATTTTCAGCGGGTGCGGCGTTTAGGTGCACTAAAAATAAAATATTTCCTATGATGGTCATTGTACATAGTTTGGATGGCCTTGTCATTGTGCATAGACTGGTGCTGTTCCCACACAAAAGACCACTCAGTTGCTTTTTGAGAACGTTATTTTGTTTACATTCTTTCCCTTGAACGGACCTATATGCCTTATTCACCCTAAATGAGATCTCAAAACAATAACATTCTTCCCCCTTTCAAATCAATATTCTCCTCAGTTTGAATAGTCTCTCTCCTCTGACATTCGATGAATCTTCCAGGACCCATCCTCTCCCCACCCCTGCCTTTTCTGCAATTTTTTTCAAAGACGGACACGACTCCACCTGCCTCGCAATAACGAACTCTGACATTTTTCCCTTCAGCATGAATGGATTTTTCTTGGCATTCAACCAAATACAGATCCCATCAGTTTGGGTACAAGTACTTGTTGGATAGTTTTTAATTAGGGAGCGGAAAATTTTTGAAAATGTCTCTAAACGACACAGAAGCTATACATTTCTTACCTTTAATTTATTTTTGATTTATGGTTTCATTTCATGCATTTTTCTTAACTGGTATGTCATATATCAGGACTTAGGTTGAGTTTTTGCATCTATACGGCCCACGACGATGTCACTCGCAATTTAATCTATTGCGGCGTTTCTGTGTAATTTTAATTTTTTTCCTGCCATTTTTCTCGAGTGCGGCGTTTACGCTGATGTGGCCTTTCTTCTAGAAATTACGGTATCTAAATTATTGCTTTTATTAAATGATTAATTACTAAGAGAAGTATAATAATCTGGAATAAAAATAATGAAAGCCAGCAACATACACTTTTGAAAATATGTCATCTTCAAAGTTTCCATGCAAAACTAGAAAATGTAATTACTATGTAACAGGGGATTCTAAAGGAAAATGTCATTAAGAATTCTAAGTATATGTGCAAGTATTACTTTTTTCACACTTACTACAGATATATACTAAGGTTCAGCTTCCAAACATTCTTGTGCATAAAGTAATATTTAATATCTACATATTATTGCCTTGTACTTGGAAAAAGGATGTGCTTAGGCAAATGAACCTCCATTTTCTAGCAAAACAATTTTTCACATTTTAATATTAAAGATTGGGTGAAGGTTTTCTTGCCATTGTTATAAAAAGGCTCTGCTCTTGGAAAAAGATGCCCTAACTTTATTTCAATAATATTTCAGGGTTCGTATACATTTCTGCACACAGAAATTAAGTACTTTTAAGGACCATTAATGAAAACAATTAAGGACCTATGAGCAAATGCGAATTGAATAAATTCAATTAAAAATAGCATCTATGCCTGAACTTCATTTCTGTAATACCATCCTAAAAATAAAATAGATCCATAAGTAGGATGCACTATTATTAAACATGACTTAATTAACATAATAATTATTAAGTTTGAAAATAAAATAAACTTTACGAAATTTATCAAGTAGCATTATATAATTTACACTTATATGAGCTGAACATATTTGAAAGGAGCCATTTTATTTACATTATACTAGCAGTTAGGTTTATGTTGATTTTATTTTATATCTCATTTTGTCACATACTTGCTCAGTCTAGAGCTTTAGTAAATAGTAAGCAGATTTTATGTCAAGCGGCATAGGTTAAAATGAGAAGTAAAATCATAATTCACACAATTCACAACAAAAGACTGGCTGTTCTCACCGCAGCTGCTTGCCTAGAGAGAGAACTGTTGATCAGAACAAACCTGAAAGGCCTGATAAAATTAGCAGCTTGCATGGTTGGCAAGTTCTGAAAGTT